AAATTGAAATTTCCTAGGAGTTTTTTGCACTGCACTTATGTAAATATATATTTATTTATTTATTACAATTATTTATTATTTTTGGTTAAAAGTTTTCAAATTTATTTATTTATTTATTAAACATCTTATAAAATTATCACAATGGTAACACCTAATTTACCTAATTTTTATCTAATTTACCATACCCGAAATTATGGTAAATACCAACATTCGCTGCCGTACCGACAAAATTTACTATTTCCTTCAATTTACCATCAATTTACTTGAACTCGCACACGGTTTTAATATAAATTAATAACTTTATTTTATCATGCATATTTTTATATGAGAAAAATGTACAGTAGAAAGGAAATTATAAGTGTGAAGTAAATAATATAAACAGTAATTATAATTCCGATATGTCCAATAGTTCTAACAAAAATCTTAGAGCGTCACCTAATATATATGAAGAAATGACACCATCTGGTAGCAGCGTTCTGTCAAACATATACATAGATTCTTTCGAAAAATATTGTCACGCATATGGCTTCACACAATGTTTTTCCAGTGACATGTACGAGTATATTACAACATTTTAGTAGTATTTTTTGATCTTAAATCCGATTTTATTATATATCGTTGTCAGTTAATTTTCATTAGATTTTTTTCATAATTCATTTGTTTATTTTTTACAGTAAAATTAGATTATTAAATTTGATCTAATAATTTTTTAGTTTTAATTGCATTAATTATTATTTTAATAAATCGCCTAGGTGCTTGGGAACAAAGTACCGATCATACACTTGTAATCCATAATAAATCAAAAATTCAAAGAACTTATTTAATAATATAATATAACCACGAGTCGAATCATAGTTTGCTGAATAGATAGTAATGATACATATAGTATGAGTAGTATGGTTACAGGGTCGCAAATAGGGTCATAGGTTATAACTCGAGCTTGAACAATCGTGTAGTTTATGTAGTGCTGGGAACCATATTCTACCTTTGTTATTATAAAATCTCTATGTTTTATAAGCACTAATTATACTAATCGGAATGTTTACAAAAAACACAAACCAGAAACAATTTAAATAACTTCTATATAATATATATATATATATAGATATATTTTTGTAGACATGAAATATATCGAAATGGTAAACAATTTGCTATCCGGAATAAAACTTTTCTGTGGTGCATTTAAGAAAATTTCAAATACTAAGGCTAGAATAAGAAAAAAACAAGAAATGTTTGTAATTATGTTTTCAAAATTTTCAAAATTACTGCGTTTTAATTATTTCCGAGCAAGCAATACCCTGGCTAACGAACAATGCACTCAAAGAACAATGCGACATCGAAATATTTCATTTCGATGTTATTCGATATTTCAACAAAATAGAATCTTTTAAAAATTTTCAAAAATTGTAATTGAAACAAACAGCTTTGCTGGTTGGTAATGCATTTATTTTTCAAAATATATAGTATATATATTATTAATAATATATATAAATATATAGTTTGTATAGAAAAAAAACGGGTTTTTAGAAAGGAATGAATTCCTGGAAACTAACGGTTAGTTTATAATGTCCCTTAATGAAACCCAGTGTTCTTATCTTTTAGAGTTCACATTTCCTTAGTTGTAGTGGATGACTCACTTCTGATGTAGTAGTTGAAGTTAGTGACGATAATTCTTAGTTTCCTTAGTTTTGGTGACCTACAGTTTTGATACTGGATATGATTGTACAGTTACATGCGAAACTTGATCCCCACTATGGCTTGCGTTTATAACATTGTCGGCGTCTGGCCCCGTGATTGTTTCTTTGCTTATTGAGCGATGTCCAACAATAGACATGGTGTCATTTTCGTGGTTGATTGGCGGCTTTTCATACCCATTTTCTTCTTTTACGTTTAACTGTTTTTCTACACCAGTCCTGATTTTGTTTTCAAAGTTTTCAACCATTTTTTGCACTATATCTCCTTTAGCTTTCGATTTATCCGCGTTGCCTTCTAATAAATTAAATATTTTAGTCCGCGTCTCTTGAAAATTAAATTCCCGTTGAAAAGTGATCACAGCTGAATAAAAAAAAAATTATTTATATAAGTTCGATTAAAAAAGGTGGTTTATATACACATATATTTCTGCAAAGGAAGCGTACTGTTGTCATTGAAATTCTCTGGAATTGATTGGAAATAATAATCATCAGCATTGGCATCAGTGGCACCAGTGGTTCTATGTGCTTGATCTGGTTCAATATCAGTTAACGTAGACTTACCTGACGTAAACGTTGCCATTTCGCAAATTTTTGCCAGCGTTTGTTAATTTGCAATCTCAGCGCTATCAATTTGATGTTCCACCTGCTTTTCTATAACCCGGAAACGGGAAGAGATGATTGCTTGTTATTAGAGCCTTTTCCTTTGGTGGCAGCTTCTATTTGTTTCTTATTTCCAATACTATTCGACCATTCCACAATTCGTATTTTGAATTCTTGTTTTCAATTTGTTGTGCAAAAACCAGCAATTTCCGAAAAGAAAAGATTTTTGCACATTACCTAGACCAGCTGAATTTTGATTTTGAGTTAATCCAAAAACTACATATTTTGGTTTTAGTAAAAATTTATTTTTCGACTAAAAAACAAATATTTTTGACATTTAATTAAAAGCTGCTGGGTTGTATTTTTTTTTTTGTTACATTTAAGTTAATTCAGCTGAAGTAAGCTCATAATAAATTTACAACTTTTTAATACTAATTATTTGAATTTATTTATTTTCCACGGTAATGGAAGAAATATATCATCTAATGGTTTCTGTTTTGAGATGGATTAGAAATCAGGCCAAACTTTTTAACATAATTGATCATAGCAACCTGTTGTCAGGTTTCGATGTGACGTTGCAGTCCCCTCCTTGGAGTGTCTGCTGTTGCATGTCTTTTTCAGTATTTACATCAAACATGGTTAGAGCCTGCTTTTCTTGACCACTCTAGCAAGCATATGGTTTACACCTACGCCTTCTTCCCTCAATTCCTGCTTCAAACATCCTTTTCGCTCAAGTATTGTCACCATGGATAGTTATCTGTTGAAAGATATAAATGTCGGAATATTTAAAAAAGAAGAAATTAGCAGAAAATAATCAGAACTACTCAATTCATATATAGTTATCGTCTCTAATCATAATTTCTAATGTTTTTGGCAGGGAGATTTTAAACTATACGATATTTAAGGTGTTTATGGCATTGGGTTTAATAATGTAGGTGGATATTGCTAAATTTATGACTAGGTATCAATATTATTTCATTGGAAGAAAGTCTTTTTGGATGTGTGCGAGTTCGAGTAAATATAGGTAGGGTAAATTGAAATTTCCTAGGAGTTTTTTGCACTGCACTTATGTAAATATATATTTATTTATTTATTACAATTATTTATTATTTTTGGTTAAAAGTTTTCAAATTTATTTATTTATTTATTAAACATCTTATAAAATTATCACAATGGTAACACCTAATTTACCTAATTTTTATCTAATTTACCATACCCGAAATTATGGTAAATACCAACATTCGCTGCCGTACCGACAAAATTTACTATTTCCTTCAATTTACCATCAATTTACTTGAACTCGCACACGGTTTTAATATAAATTAATAACTTTATTTTATCATGCATATTTTTATATGAGAAAAATGTACAGTAGAAAGGAAATTATAAGTGTGAAGTAAATAATATAAACAGTAATTATAATTCCGATATGTCCAATAGTTCTAACAAAAATCTTAGAGCGTCACCTAATATATATGAAGAAATGACACCATCTGGTAGCAGCGTTCTGTCAAACATATACATAGATTCTTTCGAAAAATATTGTCACGCATATGGCTTCACACAATGTTTTTCCAGTGACATGTACGAGTATATTACAACATTTTAGTAGTATTTTTTGATCTTAAATCCGATTTTATTATATATCGTTGTCAGTTAATTTTCATTAGATTTTTTTCATAATTCATTTGTTTATTTTTTACAGTAAAATTAGATTATTAAATTTGATCTAATAATTTTTTAGTTTTAATTGCATTAATTATTATTTTAATAAATCGCCTAGGTGCTTGGGAACAAAGTACCGATCATACACTTGTAATCCATAATAAATCAAAAATTCAAAGAACTTATTTAATAATATAATATAACCACGAGTCGAATCATAGTTTGCTGAATAGATAGTAATGATACATATAGTATGAGTAGTATGGTTACAGGGTCGCAAATAGGGTCATAGGTTATAACTCGAGCTTGAACAATCGTGTAGTTTATGTAGTGCTGGGAACCATATTCTACCTTTGTTATTATAAAATCTCTATGTTTTATAAGCACTAATTATACTAATCGGAATGTTTACAAAAAACACAAACCAGAAACAATTTAAATAACTTCTATATAATATATATATATATATATAGATATATTTTTGTAGACATGAAATATATCGAAATGGTAAACAATTTGCTATCCGGAATAAAACTTTTCTGTGGTGCATTTAAGAAAATTTCAAATACTAAGGCTAGAATAAGAAAAAAACAAGAAATGTTTGTAATTATGTTTTCAAAATTTTCAAAATTACTGCGTTTTAATTATTTCCGAGCAAGCAATACCCTGGCTAACGAACAATGCACTCAAAGAACAATGCGACATCGAAATATTTCATTTCGATGTTATTCGATATTTCAACAAAATAGAATCTTTTAAAAATTTTCAAAAATTGTAATTGAAACAAACAGCTTTGCTGGTTGGTAATGCATTTATTTTTCAAAATATATAGTATATATATTATTAATAATATATATAAATATATAGTTTGTATAGAAAAAAAACGGGTTTTTAGAAAGGAATGAATTCCTGGAAACTAACGGTTAGTTTATAATGTCCCTTAATGAAACCCAGTGTTCTTATCTTTTAGAGTGCACATTTCCTTAGTTGTAGTGGATGACTCACTTCGGATGTAGTAGTTGAAGTTAGTGACGATAATTCTTAGTTTCCTTAGTTTTGGTGACCTACAGTTTTGATACTGGATATGATTGTACAGTTACATGCGAAACTTGATCCCCACTATGGCTTGCGTTTATAACATTGTCGGCGTCTGGCCCCGTGATTGTTTCTTTGCTTATTGAGCGATGTCCAACAATAGACATGGTGTCATTTTCGTGGTTGATTGGCGGCTTTTCATACCCATTTTCTTCTTTTACGTGTAACTGTTTTTCTACACCAGTCCTGATTTTGTTTTCAAAGTTTTCAACCATTTTTTGCACTATATCTCCTTTAGCTTTCGATTTATCCGCGTTGCCTTCTAATAAATTAAATATTTTAGTCCGCGTCTCTTGAAAATTAAATTCCCGTTGAAAAGTGATCACAGCTGAATAAAAAAAAAATTATTTATATAAGTTCGATTAAAAAAGGTGGTTTATATACACATATATTTCTGCAAAGGAAGCGTACTGTTGTCATTGAAATTCTCTGGAATTGATTGGAAATAATAATCATCAGCATTGGCATCAGTGGCACCAGTGGTTCTATGTGCTTGATCTGGTTCAATATCAGTTAACGTAGACTTACCTGACGTAAACGTTGCCATTTCGCAAATTTTTGCCAGCGTTTGTTAATTTGCAATCTCAGCGCTATCAATTTGATGTTCCACCTGCTTTTCTATAACCCGGAAACGGGAAGAGATGATTGCTTGTTATTAGAGCCTTTTCCTTTGGTGGCAGCTTCTATTTGTTTCTTATTTCCAATACTATTCGACCATTCCACAATTCGTATTTTGAATTCTTGTTTTCAATTTGTTGTGCAAAAACCAGCAATTTCCGAAAAGAAAAGATTTTTGCACATTACCTAGACCAGCTGAATTTTGATTTTGAGTTAATCCAAAAACTACACATTTTGGTTTTAGTAAAAATTTATTTTTCGACTAAAAAACAAATATTTTTGACATTTAATTAAAAGCTGCTGGGTTGTATTTTTTTTTTGTTACATTTAAGTTAATTCAGCTGAAGTAAGCTCATAATAAATTTACAACTTTTTAATACTAATTATTTGAATTTATTTATTTTCCACGGTAATGGAAGAAATATATCATCTAATGGTTTCTGTTTTGAGATGGATTAGAAATCAGGCCAAACTTTTTAACATAATTGATCATAGCAACCTGTTGTCAGGTTTCGATGTGACGTTGCAGTCCCCTCCTTGGAGTGTCTGCTGTTGCATGTCTTTTTCAGTATTTACATCAAACATGGTTAGAGCCTGCTTTTCTTGACCACTCCAGCAAGCATATGGTTTACACCTACGCCTTCTTCCCTCAATTCCTGCTTCAAACATCCTTTTCGCTCAAGTATTGTCACCATGGATAGTTATCTGTTGAAAGATATAAATGTCGGAATATTTAAAAAAGAAGAAATTAGCAGAAAATAATCAGAACTACTCAATTCATATATAGTTATCGTCTCTAATCATAATTTCTAATGTTTTTGGCAGGGAGATTTTAAACTATACGATATTTAAGGTGTTTATGGCATTGGGTTTAATAATGTAGGTGGATATTGCTAAATTTATGACTAGGTATCAATATTATTTCATTGGAAGAAAGTCTTTTTGGATGTGTGCGAGTTCGAGTAAATATAGGTAGGGTAAATTGAAATTTCCTAGGAGTTTTTTGCACTGCACTTATGTAAATATATATTTATTTATTTATTACAATTATTTATTATTTTTGGTTAAAAGTTTTCAAATTTATTTATTTATTTATTAAACATCTTATAAAATTATCACAATGGTAACACCTAATTTACCTAATTTTTATCTAATTTACCATACCCGAAATTATGGTAAATACCAACATTCGCTGCCGTACCGACAAAATTTACTATTTCCTTCAATTTACCATCAATTTACTTGAACTCGCACACGGTTTTAATATAAATTAATAACTTTATTTTATCATGCATATTTTTATATGAGAAAAATGTACAGTAGAAAGGAAATTATAAGTGTGAAGTAAATAATATAAACAGTAATTATAATTCCGATATGTCCAATAGTTCTAACAAAAATCTTAGAGCGTCACCTAATATATATGAAGAAATGACACCATCTGGTAGCAGCGTTCTGTCAAACATATACATAGATTCTTTCGAAAAATATTGTCACGCATATGGCTTCACACAATGTTTTTCCAGTGACATGTACGAGTATATTACAACATTTTAGTAGTATTTTTTGATCTTAAATTCGATTTTATTATATATCGTTGTCAGTTAATTTTCATTAGATTTTTTTCATAATTCATTTGTTTATTTTTTACAGTAAAATTAGATTATTAAATTTGATCTAATAATTTTTTAGTTTTAATTGCATTAATTATTATTTTAATAAATCGCCTAGGTGCTTGGGAACAAAGTACCGATCATACACTTGTAATCCATAATAAATCAAAAATTCAAAGAACTTATTTAATAATATAATATAACCACGAGTCGAATCATAGTTTGCTGAATAGATAGTAATGATACATATAGTATGAGTAGTATGGTTACAGGGTCGCAAATAGGGTCATAGGTTATAACTCGAGCTTGAACAATCGTTTAGTTTATGTAGTGCTGGGAACCATATTCTACCTTTGTTATTATAAAATCTCTATGTTTTATAAGCACTAATTATACTAATCGGAATGTTTACAAAAAACACAAACAGAAACAATTTAAATAACTTCTATATAATATATAATATATAATTAAGATATATTTTTGTAGACATGAAATATATCGAAATGGTAAACAATTTGCTATCCGGAATAAAACTTTTCTGTGGTGCATTTAAGAAAATTTCAAATGCTAAGGCTAGAATAAGAAAAAAACAAGAAATGTTTGTAATTATGTTTTCAAAATTTTCAAAATTACTGCGTTTTAATTATTTCCGAGCAAGCAATACCCTGGCTAACGAACAATGCACTCAAAGAACAATGCGACATCGAAATATTTCATTTCGATGTTATTCGATATTTCAACAAAATAGAATCTTTTAAAAATTTTCAAAAATTGTAATTGAAACAAACAGCTTTGCTGGTTGGTAATGCATTTATTTTTCAAAATATATAGTATATATATTATTAATAATATATATAAATATATAGTTTGTATAGAAAAAAAACGGGTTTTTAGAAAGGAATGAATTCCTGGAAACTAACGGTTAGTTTATAATGTCCCTTAATGAAACCCAGTGTTCTTATCTTTTAGAGTTCACATTTCCTTAGTTGTAGTGGATGACTCACTTCTGATGTAGTAGTTGAAGTTAGTGACGATAATTCTTAGTTTCCTTAGTTTTGGTGACCTACAGTTTTGATACTGGATATGATTGTACAGTTACATGCGAAACTTGATCCCCACTATGGCTTGCGGTTATAACATTGTCGGCGTCTGGCCCCGTGATTGTTTCTTTGCTTATTGAGCGATGTCCAACAATAGACATGG